TGTAGACGGTAAAAGCTAGAAAAATTGATTTTGCAATCAACAAAGAACGTCTGCCACCCTGAAGAAATGTGTGGTGGGAGAACCTTCGAAACCGTTATATCGGTAACAACTTACGCTTACTTTGATTGGGCTCCTCTACTGCAATTCACATTCAATGCTTTAGCTTTTACATAGCATAAAATGCAGAGAAATGTTATAAGAGCTTCAATGGGTAGAGACGCGTGTCATCTGAAGCAATCTCTCTCAGTATCGTAGTCGAGACCGAAGGCGGAATTTTTTGCAGCTCATATTTCACAATCATAGACTGAATTGTAAACAGATAAGATTAAATTACTTATATGCTCAAGTCATAAAACATTGAAGGAGAATAGCTTGTCAGCTATGCCATTTGAAATTATTATATTAAAGTAGTGAGCTCAAAATTAAGGGTTTCAATCAAGGTTTAGAGTGTTGTGCAACATTTACATTTTCCAAATATGCTGAATCGATAAAGAGATTTATTCGAAAACTACGTAAAAACAGGTCTGTAATTTACGTAAAAAGTGCAAGTAGAAAAAAATCGTGGCGCGGCCGCTATATACATTTCTGCCGTTTTGTGATGACACTGAAAATAATTCATCGATTTCCGTGGGTATCATAGAGGGAATAGCAGAGAGCAAGCAAAAACACTTTCAATTCAAACGAAATTATGCTCGTTGACTCGTCTGTGGTGGTGTGCCAAGAAGGTGGTTTCCTTCATCGAAGATGTCCGTTGAATGGAAGTATTGCTGCCACAAGTGATTGAACTTTTTGTGATCAATCGAGTTGAAGTGCACACCAGACGAGTTCTGAAATGATATTCAGTTTGAAGAATGATCCTCATATTTACAGAAGAACAAGCACACGAACCACAGCAAATTTATCAAAGCAGGCAACAGCATCTGCTCGCGGAATTGAAAAATAGCCTAATACTTCGACATACTCGGCAAGATCAACCAGTTCATCACCTAAAATAAACGCTGAATTATGCTTTTACACTTCACTAGGTTTTGGTGAAATCTATACCAGACGCATCGAGCAAACGAAACATGTAATCGAGATATGCCTTTTGCCACGCCGGTTCCTTTGCAGCCGAGAGCGATTTTGCCCACATGCCAATCCAATCTACCAGCGTGATCTGTGATAGTGGGAGTTGATAAAGATCTTTCTAAATTTCTTTCTTCTATTTTTTAAATCCAAAAAAGTACCACTTAGTGGATGGGAAAATTTATTTCCTGCATTACTTATCGTTATAACTGTGCCCATAGGCAATGCAGTAGGAGTTGCACTTTAAGGGAGTCACACCTTTCAGATATTTATGAGGCAATAAATATTAATAAAGTTAAAGTGCACATACATATATCACTATTTT